CAGAAGATTTCGTATTGGGAAAAGAATAATTGTGCCAGCAGGCCTAACAGTGCTAGGTCTAACATGGGCTGCAGCGGTTGTCTTGCATGTGTGTAACTGATGTCTGTATGTGCAGTGACTCTTGGCTGTCCCATTGTTTCTGCTATGCCAACCTATGCTCATGTATGAATGTGAAATACCTGTTAAGGGATTATAAATATTTGGCTGCCCTGCTACTTAGAATAACTAGTTAGATGCCCAGAATCTACTGCTGAAAGCAAAAGGATTGGTAGTTTTGTAGTTGCCAGTGGATTTATGTTACTTCCTGTGAAGGTGTGAGTACTTCCACATCCCATTAAATTATGTAGTCAGTATAAATCAGGATAGCTGGACAGCTGTCAATATAGTAATCCTAATTTGTATCTGTTCTCTATCTTGTTGGCATGTCTAAGATGATGGGGTGATAACGAAGCATGGTAGTTAGGCTGTCACTGTTTTTGAAGGAGTTCACCTGTGTAAAGATGAAGAATACAGTTAATTCTAAATTTACATCGGAGTGTAACTGAGATTAGAGGTAGATTTTGCTACTTGAAGTGAGAATAGAAAGTGAAAAATCTCGGTATGTAGGAATATGGAGTACAGTTAAAATAATTTAGGTTTTGCAGTGATTTGAAATGAATGTGTAGTTGAAGTTAATGTGACAGAGGGGGAAGAAAAAAAGCATTAATTGGCATACTAGTTATAACTTATCAAAACAGCCAAGGGCCTAGGAGAGCATGGAAGTACTGCTTCTCCATCAGGTCATAAACTAGTTAATAGGGAAAGGGGAATAAACTCGCTTTTCCCTTTACCCTGCTTTGTATGTCTTGAGTGATTAATCTGTGCTCTGCCTCGAGCTGTTAATCTGCAGTGGTGACATTTCAATTATAAACGGCATTTTGTCCATCCCCTCTGGAAATTCTGGATTTGTCAGTGCTACAGCATCACTAGTACATGAATGCAACTTCACCAATAACTGCACAGCTAAACTTTGTTTGCTTTCAAGAAACAGTTTTGGAGGATATGGTAGTATCTGCCAGCATAAACTTTAATGCAGAAAGAACAGCAGCAATGCACATTTTCTATACACAAACAATTAAATTTGAGAGAACACTGCCTTGATGGAAGGATGAGCAACAGAGTGACTGGGTAAGGCAATGATTCTCCAAACTTCCCTATTTTCTCTAGGAAAACATGAAGAGTGAAAGTGGCAACATTAACATTCTCATTCTGTCCTTGAGTGGATTTTCCTACCCTATTGTCTTGCACCCTTGTTCTAATTTAAAGAGATCTGATAACATGAGAGTGGTTATTCCAGCCCCAACTTTTCTGTGCTATTTAAAGCAAGTATTTGTTGCTATTTGGGACTATTGTTCTGATCTGATTGCTGAAGAATATAATTGATTCTTGCATCTTCATCAGATTGCTTTATCTATAAACTATTGTCTCCTTTCTACTAAGCAATACCTCCTGTAAAAAAAACTTTTAAATCCACTAATGTCTTTTTTTCTGAAGCCATAAGAGTGATAAATGACTTTCTTCAGAACTGGTTTCAGTTGCTCTTCATTTTTGCGAGTAGTTATATTTTGAAAATTGCAGCGTTTCAAGCCTCAGCCTCTGTATGTGTTACTTGTTTATAGGGAATATGGAGCAAGTTAAAGAGCAGATCGAGCCTCTCCTCCCTGGTTCACTGGTCACATTCTGCATTAATGGAAAAGCAGCCTCTATGTGTTATTTGATCCTTCGTTTTCTGTTAAGAGTTACACTAAGGAAACAGATCTTGGTTACACGTTAAAAACTCTATTTCCTTCACAGCCTCTTGGTTAAGTGAGACCTTTGTTCAGAACAGGCCCACCCAGCATGAGCTCCTTAAGGGCAGGGAAATTTCACCACTACCTGGTGGCCATCTGATTTAAAGAAGCCAAGCTACAGACTGAGTGACAATTCTACATACCTTTATTTTTAAACGCACTGGTACTTCCACTTACTTCATTTGGATGTTTCCTGATTGCAAACTATTCAGATACATTTGCAGGATTAGACTTTAAATGCAGGCCAACAACACTATGCATTTGAAGAGATTCTGACATTGCAAATATTTTCCAGACAACTTTAAACTCCGTCTTACTTAAAGATTTTGTGATCACATTTCTAATACAGGTACTGTCAATACAGAATATTCAAAGGTGGTATGATAGAGTAAGATTGATTTAAAAGTCAGCATATAAGAATGTTTGCATTGCCCGTTGCGAGTCTTCAATATTTTAAAGGTTTTTCTTTGCGATAATAACTGGAAATCTTAAAAGTATGAATCTATGGGAGTTAAGGCTTTGAGAAATCACGGGGAATATTTGAAATGTATTTAAAATGTTCAGTATATGACAAAACTTAGTAATAATTTATAATTTAAAGGGCATTTCAAATTAAGTATTTGTACTGTTAAAACATTTTAAGATCCTGGGCATGCAAAACCTATATGACTCCATCAAGGCTCTGCTGAGACACCACCTTGATTGCAGAATGAAAGTCGTATTATAGACGAGCCTTCTTCTGATTAAGCAATTCCACTTTGCTCGTCACATGCTATGGCAGGTAATGTAACACGCTAAAACCTCCCAAACACTCCCAACTGGGGGGAAAAAAAAAAAAAAAAAAAAAAAAAAAGCAACAGTTCTGCGTTTTTTAAAAATGGAATATCGTGGAAGTGTATTTGGGCAAACTGGAGTGCGATACCACAACAGTACAGGTACATGTTAATGGCATATTAAAATTTCGAGAATTCCTTGCGCCTGTGGTTTGAAGTTGCCTCTTTTTCTGCTTTGCTCCCGTTTATCGGGCGGTCCCTGTCCGGCTGCTTTGGTGTTTTCTGCCCGGCTCTGACGCCGGCCGGGGGGATGCCCTGTGCTAGCACCTCATACCGGTGTTTAGCAGCCGCCCTGGGCAGTCCGGCCGCCACCGCCTCGCCTCCTCGGAGCCCGTCCCTGCGCTCCCGCCCTCGCACAAGCCCCTCCGGGTGAGGGAGGGACCAGGGGTTCGTCCCGCTCGCCCGGCTCCCGGGGCGCCGAGCACTCGGTTCCTTCTCTCTTGCTTTTTCTCACATGTGGAAAACAAGTGCTAATTTTTGTAGCCTGGTTCTATACTGTGCCTGTCTCTT